ACACTCTGCTATAGTTTAAGTGTGCAACAGCTTTATATATAAAAAACAATCTCAAAATACACTTTATTGCTAAAAAAAATTCTAACAATCATATGAGCCTTCAGTAAGTCTCAATATTTGCTGGTGGAGAGTTTTGCCTCCATAGCTGCTGGCTGATCAGGGTAGTGGTTACTAAATGTTGAGATAGCTGTGATAGTTTTTGAAAATAAAATAGCAGTGAATTTTGCCACATCAACTGACTCTTCCTTTCATGAAAGACTTCTCTGTAGCATGTGATGGTTTTTGATAGCATTTAACCACAGCAGAACTTCTTTCAAAATTGGAATCAGTCTTCTCTCACCCTGCCGCTGCTTTATCAATGGAGTTAATGTAATATTCTGAATTCGTTGTTGTCATTTAAACAAAGTTCAAGCATATTCACCGGGATTACATTTCATCTCAAGAAACCACTTTCTTTGCTCATCTGTAGTAAACAACTCCTCATTCATTGAAGTTTGATCATGAGATTGCAGCAACTCAGCCATATCTTCAGGCTCTACTTCTAATTCTAATTCTCTTGCTATTTCCACCAAATATGCAGTTACTTCCTCCAGTGAATCTTGAACTCCTCAAAGTTATTCATGAGGATTGGAATCAACTTCTTACAAATTCATGTGAATGTTGATCTTTTGACCTCCTCTGTGATTTACAGATGTTCCTTATGGCATCTAAAATGATGAATCTTTTCCAGAAGTTTTTCAGTTTACTTTTCTGAGATCCTTCAGAGAAATCACTATTTATGACAGGACATATAAACTTATAGAATGTATTTTTTAGGTAATTAGGCTTCGATAAACTTATAGAATGTATTTTTTAGGTAATTAGGCTTCAAAGTCAAAATTACTCTTTGAAGTATGGATTACAGAACAAATGTGTTAGCAGGCATTAAATCATCTTTAATCTTGTACATCTCTTTGGTGAGTAGGTGCATCATCAGTGAGCAGTAATGTTTTAAAATAAATCTTTTTTTTCTGAACAGTAGTTCTCAACAGTGGGCTTAAAATATTCAGTAAATTATGCTGTAAACAGATGTGTAGTCATATAGGCTTTGTTGTTTCATTAATAGAGCACAGGCAGAGTAGCTTTAGCATAACTCTTAAGGGCACTAAGTTCTTTGGAATAACAACTGAGAATTGGCTTCAATTCAAAGTTGTCAGCTACATTAGTCCCTAACAAGAGAGTCAGCCAGACAGATTTGAAGCCAGGCATTGACTTCTCTCTAGCTATAAAAATCCTGGATGACATCTTCTTCCAATACAAAGCTGTTTTGTCTACACTGAAAATAAGTTGCTTACTGTAGCTACCTTCTTTAAGGATCTTAGCTATTCTATTAGAATTAGGTATTAGCCACAGCATCTACATCATCACTTGCTGCTTCATCTTGCACTTTTACATTATGGGCAGGTCTTCTTTCCT